GGGTGTGGGTGTGGGTGGGTGTGGGTGTGGGTGTGGGGTATGGGATAAGAATAGATCTACACACACCCACACCCACACCCACACCCACACCCACCCCACACCCACACCCACACCCACACCCACACCCACCCACACCCACACCCACACCCACACCCACACCCTAACACGCAATGAAGTAAACGACTAAATCAGAAAAACAAAAATTTTTTTATCAATCATAAAGTATTGTCCATTTAATATCGTAATCATATTGTTTAATTTTTTCACGTATATTATCTAATGTTAAACAATGACGTATTGTTGTTAATCATCGTCAATGATTATTAGCATCACCAATTTCATTGATAATTTGTAGTAAATCCGAAATTTGTTTTTCAAAACTCAATCGAATAGCATCATAATGATGATGTTTCTTTAATTGTGACATTAATTTTAATTTTTGTTTCTAATAGATTTGAACTCTAAAAAATTAAAAATTAAGAAAAGAGAAGAAAAACAAAATCTTCACTATATTTCTATGTTTATTGCGATTTTCATTTTATGCATATTGTTTTGATGGCAGAAATTCGAATTGATAAACTCTATTTTCTGGTTTACAGGAATTTTAACCTACGAAATTTTCGACTCGAGTCTCAATTTCTTTAAGATTTTCGGCCCATACTTCGATTAAACTCGTTGACTTCCTAAAAAAAAAACAAGCTGTGCTATTTGATTACTTGCTAGATATTGTAGTACCGAGCAGAACAGCATAACACACAGCAATCAATCGGTTTTTATCATTGTTAGAAATGGTATAGTCTTTTGAGATACTAATTATTTCTTTGCAACAAGTCTTAACATAAAAAAGTGTGGCCTCAATAAAACTCCAAATGATGCTCTTCCTTTAGACTTGAGACTGTGGATGTCGATTGAAGTCTGTTGTTGTCAGTTCTTCTCTTTGCTCTGAATACCAGCACCGCCACCACACTAACCTACATTCTACGTCATTTTTCTTAGCATTATGTCATTCTGTTCGGCACTGCGTTATCTAGCAAGTAATTAAATAAATTAGATTACTTTCTTAGAGGTCAATGGATTCAATTGAAGTCTGGGCCAAAGTTTTCGTGCATTGAAATTTCGGTCTCTCCTTTTTTCTCAATCAACCATTAGTTGTTGTGTATTTGATAATGTTGATAAATCGAGTTTTTAAATTTGTACTAATGATGCAAAGTTTATTAATTCGACTTTTATATATTATCCAGACAAAAACATCTTTCCTGAGAAGATTCAACATAGAATACTTATGATATTAATTTCTTCATACGCAGAGTTGAATATGTATGAAGAGAACAACAACAAAAAAGAGAAAAATGAGAAAGTAAAAAAAGAAAAAAAAAATCAAATCACAAGATGAGCAAAAACATAGGCAAGAAAAGAGTTACAGAACTACGTGAAAAACCAACATAAAAAAAAATATGAAAAGGCAAAAAGCGACATGAATCGTTTTCATACATTTAGAATCATTTTTTTACAACAATTCAATATAATTCTAATTCAATTTTTTTTTTGTTTCTTTTTTGCCAAAACTTTATCAGTATTTGTAGAAGAAAAAAACCAATAAGAAATAATGAAAATATGGTGCACGTAAGAGCAGCTCTAGCACCTGGTACTTGACCGAGCAAATATCCGCCAAAGAACACGACGATTACACCACCAACAATTGATTCAACCCAACGGGTTATTTGATCATTCACTATAAGAAAAAAAAACAAGTTTTACTTTGAAAAGACGTATGGGGTCGGGTGGCGGGATGTTCGCCAATAAGACTTTGGTCAATAAGACATTCGCCAATGGCGAAAGTTCTGGAGAGTATATTGGCGAAACTCCACGGAATGTATTGACGAAAGTCCACTGTACTTTCGCCAATTGGTGAAATTCCACGGGGTGTATTGGCGACAGTACAATGGGCTTTCGCCAATGACGAATATCCTATTTGCGAAAGCCTTATTGGTGAAATTTCGGAACCCCATGGGGTCATTAAAATATTTCAATTTCATGGATTTTATAGGAGTACGACGAGGAGACATGAAGCTTGACATCCTTAAAGGTAATACCAGATTAAAAAAAAGTGTTTTGAACGCTTCAAAATAATATAAAATCATAGAAGATAAAATTCTAATCGTACAAAAAAACTCTAAAGAGACTATCTTCAAAACATGATTTTACGATTTTTTGTCTAATATTTAGTAGATTTTGATCAGAAAAATACACTTTGTATAATAACTGATATGATATTCTCAATCAACATCCACAACACAGCGTATTTATGTGTATTTTAAAAATTTTTGCAACATTCGTGTTTTTATTGTAAAATTCATCCATAGTCTACCTCAGGATTGAATCAAAAATTGAATTTCATGAAAATTTTCCATAAAGTTCATTTTTAACGCCACCCTTAGAGGGGAACCAGAAATAAATTTTTCGACAAAAGAGAATGTAGCGAAAATTTTTGAAATGCTCTTAAGTGTATTCAGCTTTGGAGGCTGATTTAGAATATCATATTAGTTATTTTACAAATCGTATTATTCTAATTGAAATCTATTAGATATCAGGCAAAAAAAAATCATCGAATCGTATCTCGATAATAATCTCTGTTGGGATTTCTTTGTGTATCCAATGTTTTTTTTCCTCAATGTTTTGTATTCTATTTTGAACCGCTTGCAAAATGCTATCGAGTCAAATGAATACTAGTCTGATACGTTTTCTAATTGATAGATAAAAAGAGCTTGTCATCTTCGACATCCAAGTATAGCATGCATACAATCGTCATTGACTGTTTCAATCGACCGAGAAACAGCAAAAACAAGTCATATAAGTCTAATTCTATGAGGAATCACTTTCGGATACATTTAGTGAGAGTTTGACATGACAGAAATGATATTTCTGTAGGGTGATGATGTCATCAGTTATCGATTCCTTTCTTACAGTGTCCAATTAAGTAAACTACTAAAATATCTTGTCATGTCCTATCTAGTACCACTTTTTCAGTGAAGAAACAAATACTATCTTTATGAATAGCTATCGATTATTCTCTTTTTCAAAACAAACTTAATCTGATAGATACAAAGATTCAAGCTAATACTTAACGATAATAATATGGTGATGCTCTTGAGTTTCGAAAACACTATGAAATCAATAGTTTGCATTTAATCAAAAATATGAATAAGAAAGATATTCGAAAAAATAAATTTTTGTTTGTTGGAAATTTATCATACAAATAAATCTCCTTCTATAACACGGATACATTAATAAAAAAATTATTATCAGTGAAACTAATACTGAAGCAATAAAATTATATCAATAAAGATAAATAGTAATTTCATCGAACGTTGATTTAATTGCAATCAAAAGAATCGAAATAAAAACGTATCAATTCAACTATCAAGCTCATTTGAAGAAAGAAATGAATAAAAGACTAATCGATCTATCATATAAGACGGATATATAATTCATTGTCATAATATATTAAAAGATATTGAAGATACGGAGAAATTCAATCTTTTAGTAACAGTTAATTCCTCATCGATATTCTAATTCCTTCAAAAACCTACTGTTTCGTATTTTTTGCAAAAAAAAAACTTCACTTTATCCCCTGTAGAAGTCTCGATTTTTAAAGAAGGGTTCGCTAAAAACCCTAACAAAACTTGTCAGAGATATGCGAAGTATAGAATTCGATGCATCTTTATGTCCTCTTTCTAACGGTGAAAACCGCAAGCCTGTATCTCGTTTCAATCAGATGTTATCCTAAAAACTAGTTACTCTTTATACATTTTAAAATTTTGAACAATTTTTGCAGTAAAAAAAAATATCACGTCTTTTTCTAATGCACTTTTTATACTTCAAATTGTACTTGTTGTTCAATGTAAATATACCATTAGATGCAGCGTGTTCTGGGCTTTCTTTCTATATATAGAAAGTTAATAAATTCAAAAGGTCTAATAATAAAAACTAAAAAATACAAAAGAGGAGGGGGGAACTTTTGACGTGCACTATATATTAATACTAAACGAAAATAACTATAACTTACGAATTTCAAAAAACCAATGTTTTTTTTTGTTTTTATTCTTTGTTTTTTGTAAATCATTTTCATTTAATTTTTTATCATTTGATTTATCAACAACAGGAATAATAGATGGTTCTTGAATATTTTCAACAATGTGTGGTGGTGGTGGTGCAATTAATGATGGTGATTGATTAGTAGTAGGTGGTGGTGGTGGTGCAGTTGATGATGATGATGATTGATCCTGTAAAAAAATACAAATATATCTCTAACGACCACAAAATATTTTATTTCCTACTTACTGAATTATTTGCTATATCAAATAATTTAATCTAAAAGAAAAAGATGATGACATTTAATAACATACTTAAATTTCGACTCACGCCAGATTGTTTGATTTCTTCAAAAAGGTCATCATCTGGGCTTTGAAGAAATCTTGTCCCAATCTAGAACAGTTCAATAAAAGGGTGTGGGGGTGTGGGGTGTGGGTGTGGGTGTGGGTCTGAGTGTGTGTAGATCTATTCTTATTCCACACCCCACACCCACACCCACACCCACACCCACCCACACCCACACCCACACCCACACCCTCTTTTTTTTCGCAAAACGTCATGTTGTCTTTTTATCATCATCGTCATGATCATTATTATTAACAACGTGTGATATTATTATTCAACATATGTATTATGAATAATGATTGAACACAATGATCAAGAATAATAATTGCAAATTCCAATTGAACAGATTTTGAAAGTTGAGTATTAATTTCATTGCATTTCTTTGTTTTAAAAGGATAATGAAATCATAGAGATAATTATTTCTAATGTACTTGTAAAGAGATAAATTGAATAAATAATATCTTCAGTACCAATTGCAGTTTCAAATATTCATTTTTTTCAACCCAAAATGATGAAATAAATTCATTTGATTTTTCACGATGCTTTGCTATATTTGATTTTCATAAATGACATATTTTTCTATGTTTGAAATCAAATACATTTAATTTTGACAAATATTCTAAAATTACTTGCTCTAATAGATAGCATCAAGATAATTCATATCTTAAGATGTAATATTAACAAACATGTAAAAATCTCAATTTTGAATTCATATTTATTAAATTTCATCGAATACATACATCACTAATAAGATGTGTTAAATATAATAAAATTGTTGCTAAAAGATTATTATTATTTGAATTAGAATACTGCAACTTGCGGATCGCATATTCGAATCTGTACCAGTATGGGTAAAGTAGAAATGAGAAGGTTATGAGTACAGGTATGAAAGGTTGTATCTGTACCGTAATCTAATTCGAATCATCATATGTATGAGTAAAACTTAAATGACGAAGTTGAAGGAAATAAGAAAATGATAAGAACAAGTTCATCAAAAGTACAAGAATGAATAATAATAAGATATTTAATAGAGCTGATTTGTTTTTCAGTAGGAACAGATAGTCAAGCTAATGAATATTCATCTTTAGAGTAGTTTCAAAATATAAAATTTTCTTAGTTTTGATAAAGTAAAAATAATTTTATAAATTTTAATGAAATCTTATAAAGTTTCTATCATGTGAATAGTTAATAATAAAAGATAAGATAAAGTAGATAAATTATTGAGAAATAATCTATGTAGATCAAATATCATACAATTAAATTCAAGTGATTCATATCGAATAAATGAAGAAGTAATAGTCAATAAAGAAAAGAAAAAATTTGATTAATTTCTAATAGAAATTTTATTCGAATACAAAAGATTTGATGTTTATAGAAAAAAGCATTTTTTATTTATAATTATTCAATAAAGTTTACTTTTGATTTTGAAACATTCAAGTGAATTTAACGAAATATCGTTGATCAATTGGATACTTTCAATATGACTGATGAATGCAGTCAAAGAGTGATGCATTGATTGAAATATACAAAAGAAGATAATGTTATTGTTTGTGACAATAAAACAGAAAACAACAAAATCAATTCCATTATTCCTATGATTTATTATTTTATAGAGAAAATATTATTTTATATTGTTGACTGAAGAAATCATCGAATGTCAAAATTATATTTAGATTTAAGTTTAATTTATTGAATATATAATTGAAAGAAAAATTATTTATGAGTAAGAAAAAAAAAGATTTTGAATTATTAATTGAGTTGAATAAATTGATTATATTTGCCTAAATCAATGAAATATGCATGTGATTAATAAATATTTGTCGATATTTTTCTTTTAGAAGACAAAATTTAATAAAATTAAAATGTAAAATAATTTAATAAATAAAAGAAAAAATAACTTTCTTGGTAAAATTTCACTTTTTGTATTTGTCAATAAATGAAAATCTGATCGAAAGAAAAGATTATCTTTATAACATTGAAACATTCTTAATAAAAGATTAATGTTTAGTTTAAAAATATATTTGAATTTTTTATTAGAAAATATAAAATAAAAATTAATTTATTAAGTCTTAATTAATTAAAATTTTAATAAGAACATGAATATTTTTTAATGTTTAGTATATCCTTTCTGAATAGAATCAAATATGTTCTTCTATTTATTTGTGATACATTATGGCCATCCATAAAGGACGTCCGATAAAAAGGGGAAGAGAGGGGTCCGGCCAAAACCGGACATTTTCGGACAGAGGGGAGAGGGAGTTAAATATTCTTGGACGTCCGGACGACTAACTATGATTATTTTCATATTTTTCATGTATTGTCCATAAGATTTCAGAATCATAATTGTTGTGGTGCATTAAGAACCAATTTGAAATCAGTTTTACGAAGAGGATTTTTATCTACACCAATATCATATGAAGTAAGAAATGCTAGAATTTGTTATGATGATCAAGATAAAGGTATAGATTCATATGGTGATTCGTTACAATGTCTGATATTGAATCAAATATAGTCAAATCCAACATCTCAACAAGTTCCATTTGATTATTATTATCCATCAGTTAAAGAGAAACTAACATGACGAACATGTCAAATGTGCGGTTTTTATTTTTCATTAAAAATAGCGAAGATAAGTCATAATAAAATACATTGTAAACAACGCATAGAAGGATTACCATCACCGGAACTTGAATGAGATAATGATTTATTAATTGTGTCACAAGAATTACAATCAAATGATGAAATAGTAGTGTTAAATGAACTGAATGAATCAGTTGAAAGTGATTCTAATGTCAAATTAATTGAAGACCATACTTCTTGAGTAGCTAATTATTTTTCAGAGTAATAATATAGTCGCTATCATATATTCCAATGATAGTCATATTCAAAATAACTTTTCGCTTTTTTTGTTTTTTGTGTACTCAAAAAGTGAGTACACTCTAGAATCGGTCAGTGTGTCCGGCCGGTCATCCGTCCGTTTACACGATAACTTTCGAAGGGAGAGTCAGATCGTGATGAAATTTTCTACACAGTTCAGTCTCATCAATGTCTCGGTCGAATTCGAAGATAAGCCTGATTGGACAAGCCCTTCCTGAGTTATTGCAAAAATACTCATTTTTCCCTATGCTTTTCCTATGTTTTTGTGTACTCAAAAAATGAGTACACTCTAGAATCGGTCAGTGTGTCCATCCGGCCGTTTACACGATAACTTTCGAAGGGAGAGACAGATCGTGATGAAATTTTCTACACAGTTCAGTCTCATCAATATCTCAGTCGAGAGAAGAAGATGAGCCTGATTGGACGAGCCCTTCCTGAGTTATTGCAAAAATACTCATTTTCCCCTATGACCACCCTACGCGAAAATCGACCTATACCCACTTTATTAAAAAAGCTTTTCCTATCATAGTCAAATAAAACCCCAACTATTATATACCATTCCATAGAGAATTTCACGAGCTACAAAATGATATATAAAACATAAGAAAACAAGAAAGTTAACTCACCTATTGCTACGATAAATAAGCGGAAATCGGCTCTGTTCTTGTCTACGCTCTAATTGAACCCCAATTCAAGCTCTATCTTTCGATCACAGAGGTGATACTTGCCGGTTTCCTGGGGTGGAGAACTGGAATCTGTATTCCACTTGCCTCGAAGCCCCATTGAT